AGCAAACAAATAGTTGAGGAAGTACTTAATCACCTTGAACAGCACTTGCTATAAGAACTATTTTTGACCAATTCTTCATAATAGACCTAAACACAGCAATGGCAAGAGGATTTTTGCCCCAGAATGCTACTATGGTTGGTGCCAATGCATGTCTAGATGGGGGATAGGTACCCCTATGTCTCATTTTGGCATCCAGGGGTCTGTATCTCCTATATCTGAACCCAGACTCCAATTCCCTGTGTCAAGTTGTAAATTTTAACTATCCCCTCCCAACTGTCACAGAATTATAGAAATATATACCATGGAATGGACTATCCCCTTACCCAAGCACAATTTTATCTGTTGGTCAAACTGTTCACTGCATTGTCTCTGTCCTTTTAACTCCTAAATGAATTTATCCCATGTGTAACAGCTTTGGTCAACTGATTACTCCTGATTATCATCTTCCCCTCAGTGGAAGTAGGCCAGGCCCATACAGACTTTTTCTACTCAAATCTTCTGATTTGCATTAGGTTGTGAGAACTATTTGGTACTTTCCACTGTGTGGAAATAAGTTTTATAAGTTTCCTTCCTAGGATCTCTTTCAGATAGTGATTGGTAGATTTTTTTTTATTATTATTATTTCTACCTTAACCTTCTTGTTCTAGAACTTCAGGACAATTTTCCTTTATAATTTATTGTAATATTAAATCCACATTCTTTTTTAATCATAATTTTAAGGTATTCCAACAATTCTTACATTATCTCTCCTTGATCTGCTCTCCAGATGAATTGTTTCTTCAATGAGATGTTTCAGAATCTCTATTTTTTTCTAGTTTTGTTGTACCTTAGTGTCTTATAATTTCATTAGATTCCACTTGCCCAATTCTAATTTTCAAGTAATTATTTTTCTTCCTTAAGATTTTGTATTTCTTTTTCCATTTCTTTAACTATGTTTTCATAATTTTCTTGAATTGCTTTTTTTCCAATTTTTTCTCTATTCTCTCTTATTTGATTTTTTAATTCCTTTTTAAGTTCTTCCAAGATTTCTTTTTGGGCTTGTCACCATTTGATGTTACTCTTTAGGGTAGGAATGCCTTTTTTTTTTTTACCTCACTATCTTCCTCTGAATACAAACCCAGATCTTCTTTTACACAAAGCAGCCTCCTTTGCTTACTAATTTTTATTTTTGATTTTTCTTATTTATTTTTAGCAACTTAATATTTTTATTATCAAGTTTTAATCTTCAGTTGTGGATAATATTGCCTCAGCCTCAAGTCCTTCTTACTGTTGTTTTCTGAAATCTACCCAGGGGTTCAACCTCAGAGACTCCTCTCTTCCTCCTCTAGGACCCAGCCCCACTGTTCCGAAAATGTTTTTGCTCCCTGTCATACAGGGCTCATGGCATTTTTGCTGGCTCCTCTTCAACCACAGTCACAGCTGGGGATCCCATCTAATCATCACTTCTAGGCCTGACTTCCAGAAACAGCTGGGAGTCTTTCAATCTTCCCTTACTCTGGGTCTGTTGTTCTTTAGATGGAAGTTTGTGAGGTAAAAGTTCCTGAGCTGAAATTTCTTGAGGTCTAGTCTGCTTCCCTCAGGGACTTTGTTGGTGGATTCAGTGAAACTGTCCTAGAGGTATTTCCAACTCACTTGGGCCAAACCTCAGTCCCTGGACTCTTTGAGGTTCTCTCAAGGAGGACAACTGCTTTCCCCTTTATTTTTGCTGCTCTACCTTCATTTCATGGTGATTTTCTGTCTGTTTGTGGAGGAAATCTAGAGAGACTGCATTTTTTCTGATCTACTCCACCATCATTCCAGGATGCATTTCTCCAATCTCTAAACATTGCCTATTATCAGATGTAATGTTGCAGTCCTATAATCTCTTCTACCATGGAGGCTGAGATTAGCTGCTTTTGAATTTAGGAGTTCTGGGTTATAGTAGGTCTAAAGTAACCAAGGTGTCTATATTAAGTCTGGCACAAGTATGATGAGCCTCTGGGAGCTGCAGTCTAGCACAGCTAAGAAAAAGAACATTGTCAGAGCACCCATGCCAATTAGTAGTAGTTTTAGGCCTTCGGGTGGCCCTTTCACTTCCAGCCAAGGCAAAACAGGGAGACCAGTCTCAGGCAAAAAAAAAAAAAACCCAAAACACTGACTGTGCATTTTTTTCACTGCCTCTAAGTTTGATCAAAGAAGGATCAGGGCTTGTGACCTAGGTTAGATCATCATCATTCCACTCACTGTAGCCAATTTTAAATCTGGATTTAGGAGAAAATATGGAAGGGCTTCTTTGGTAAGGTTCTGAGAATATAGTCTCTCTGATAAAGCATTGTGATTTTTTGCTCATTAATATATAAGACAAATATTTTATTTAATGACATTATTCAATCTTCAGTTGTATAGAACTGATTATAGACCTGACTCTGTATTCTAAATTGTTTCCCTCTCAGTGACTTTCATATACTCACTTCCATCTGCTAAACTGCACTTGATACCTGGAAATCAAATTTCATATATTCTGCCACCACCACTCTTTTTTTTTCTTTTCATCACAAGTGATAAAGACTTTGAAATTGGAATTGCACTGTGACAGGATTTTCTTTTAAAGCCACATATTGGATTAGCTTTGCAATCTTAGCAAAACAAAATATTTCATGGCTAATTTCTTCCCTAGAGATCTGTGGATTCAGATTCCCCTTTATGGGGAGGTATAAAGTTATGATAAGCAGAAGTGAAATGGAAAGCTTGAAGTAGTTTTTTCATTGCTGTTTTAGATTTTATTTTCCTCATTTACTTGTGTTGATGCAATGTTGCATGTCCTATAGCATGATGTAAGAAGGAAAAAAAAATCGTAAACATTTGTATGTTTCAAATATTGTTAATGATAAAAGATGCTGAGGCCAACGGATTTCCTGAATGAATAGAGGGAAAATTATTCAAAAAAATGATTTAAATGTCTTGCTATTCACAGAATTTTTCTAGAATCAGAGGTCTAGAAAGAAAATTTTGAACATCTTTCCCTGGTGACTTTCAAAGTGGTATAAAGTATTCTCTAACTAAGCCTGGGTTAGTATAAATACAGTCATGTCTGAAGACAGAGAGATGAACTTAAATGCTGCCATGTGATACTCTGATTCTCAAATCATAGAAATTGTCTATTTTACTGGGGTTTTAAAGTTGAAATAACAGCCAAATACAATATTATATAAAAAGAAAATATGATCTTTAAATATTTTAATAAATTAATATTATCTAGTAATAGTAAGTAAATGACTAGGTCATGGGACTGAAGTAATTCTCCTCTAGAAGAATGTAGCTTTCTTGAAGGCAAGAACTTTTTGTTTTGTTTTGTTTTGTCTCTACATACCCAGGACCTAGCAAAATGCGTTGTACTAAGTAGACATTAAATAGTATCATAGATATGGGTAGGATTTCAGATATCATTTTGTCCAGTTCTTTCATTTTATATGTAAGGAAACTGAGTCTCAGAGATCATGCAGATAATAAGCAGCAGAACTGTGATTCAAAGCCATACCTCCTCACTCCAGATTCAACCAAATAAATATCAAGGTTGTTTTTGTTTGTTTGCTTTATGTTTTTGTTTTTATTTTTTTGGCTTTGATTTTCTGTAACAATCCAATTTAAATCAATTCAGCAAACACTTATAGAACTCTCATTATATTAGGGGAAAATCAAACAATTCCTGGTCTCAAGCAATTTAAATTCTACTGCTGAGAAACAACATGCCCACAGATAATTTAATAAAAAGTACATACAAAGTAATTTATAGATAGTGAGGAGAAAACTAAAATCTAAGGGAAAGGACTTTTCAAGAAAATCTCCTTATAAGAAAAGGTATGTACAATGGGCTTAGAGAGACTGGAAAGTCTGAGAATTGTAAGATGTGGGAATTAGGAAGGAGAGTATTCCAGGCTAAGCTCACAAACACTAGCATCATAAGACTGCCTGTTTGTTTTTTTTTTTTTTGTAGTCATTATGTGATTTAGCAACAACTTATGATGAAATATTTTAATTGAAGATTTGTGAAGCTGGCAGCATCCTTTCAAAATATTTAGAAATTATCTATTGCTTCAATTTTCCTCCTTTTAGAAAAAAAGTTATAAAATAGTGATCTTCATTTTCAAATCTTCTAACAACTACAACAATAACGTGCATCTACATGGCACATAGTACAAAATACTTGTAGAGCTTCATAACAAAGAATTTAAACTGTAAGTTAGCTATTTGCCATCCTCACATGCATGCGTGCACATATGTGTCTTAATTTGGTAAGTGAAAATGTCTTTGTTTAATGTAGGAGAAGAATTTGCAGCCTGATTCCTCTCATCCAGAATGCAGAGAGCTAACAATTATTTTGGGACCTATATGATGCCCAGGGGCAAAAGTTAAGATGGTTCCCAAAGTTTTATTAGTCATTAAACTCAGATGCTGGTTGAAGGATGTTTGAAAGATGAATGGAAGAGAAAACCTATCAGGAAAAATTGCCATATCATTAAATAATTTTTACTAAGTCCTCTTATTCCTCCTTTGGGTATGGAAATTAGAGACAAATTTCTTATGAGAATGGTTAAGAAATGTCCTCATCCATGGCAAAAAAAAGAAAAATAAAACACATTAAGAATAATTCCCCCATAGGGATCAGCCATTTTATTTTTTCTCAAGCTACAACCTAAAAAAGATGTTTGAAATATGCGTCATATTAATCAGATATATGTGATTAATATTAAAATTGATATAGCATTTTTTATTTGTAGAGCTTTTATGGTCATGTTTTATTAACTACTCATAAAAACTCTATTAGGTAATGTTGTCCAGTATCTCTATTTAAGAAGAACTGCAACCCCAATTAACAAATTTACCCATCATTTTAATAGCAGATATTTAGAAGAAATAGATATAGAACTGGTATAGCTAAAACCCATTGGAAGTGTGTTTGCTGGACACTGGATGGCAATATACAATGACTCAGCAACAATTTTATTTACTTCTTCCCTCAGGGGCCGATGTTATCAATTTTGATGGCCATGTTGTATTACCGTACAGATTCAAGAATAAGAAGATGAAAACTCTGAAAGATGTCATTGCATTGAAATTTAAAACCTCTGAGAGTGAAGGGGTAATCTTCCATGGAGAAGGGCAGCAAGGAGATTATATTACCTTGGAATTGAAAAAAGCTAAACTGGTTCTCAACTTAAACCTAGGTAGGCTTCAACACCTTCATTCCTTTTATTTAATTTTATTTTTTCATGTTTTGAATTCATAATGTGAACTCACTGACTTTTGTTTGTCCCTATATTTTGCTCGGAAAGTTAAGTTAGAGAAGCAACTCATGAAGGCTAAAAGAATTTGAGTGGCTTGCCCACGATAACTCAACTGGTAGTTGTCAAAGGCAAAATTTGAACCCAGTTCTTCCTGACTTCAACTTCAACACTGTATCTAGTTGACTAAGATCTCTTCAAGCTACTTGGCAGGGTGAGGGGCAGGGGGCAGGCTGGAGAGGGTTATTATTTATTGGGAAACAATTGATGTGTTAAAATTATTTAAACAAGGAGAAATGGTTCATGTGATTTTGGTGTTTTAACTCATTCTCATAAGCATAAAATAAAATTGAAAACCCTGGCCAAAACAGAAATTGATATTCAAAATTATAATTCAGATAAAGCAAGATATAATCTATCTATCTATCTATCTATCTATCTATCTATCTATCTATCTATCTATCTATCTATGTCTATCTATCTATATCTATCTATCTACTTATTTATCTATATTTTATTCTGGAAGTGTATATTACAATCAAAGTTGAAATATGAATATTTCAATTGTAGAGCATAATCCTTTTATTTTTCTACACGTTAGTTGGATAATTGTTACCACCACTTTGATGTGTTTACATTTAAATAACACTGTACAATTTACAAAGCACCTTTCTTACAATAGCTCTGTAATGCAAATATTATTTTCATTATTTTTGTATAAGAAAAAACAAAGACTTCCAATGATGATGATGATGATGATGATGAAAAAGTTTTATGCTAAGTGCTTTAGAATTATTGTTTTATTTGATCCTTACAAGAAACATGGGATGCATGTGCTAATATCATCTCCATTTTACACATGAAGAAACTGAGGCAAATAGAGGTTAAGTGACTTGGCTAAGGTCACACAACTTGTGACTGTCTGAGACCATATTTGAACTCAGGTCTTCCTGACTCCAGGCCTGGTGTTCTATCCATTATGCTGCAATTTTCTTAAAGACATAGAGACAATTGATACAACTCACACTTTTGTTCTTTGCCCTGTGAAATTGGGCTTTCCCTGTATGGGGTTATTTTTGAAGAGGAGGATGGAGTGTTTTGATTTGATTCATGGTAAAAGTTGTTAGAGAAAGTCTCCTTATCAAGGACATTCTTATATGGATTCAATGTGATGTTTGCTTCAAAAATATTAACCACAACCATAAATAACAACAGCAAAACAACAACAAAAACTGTATCATAGCAAAATCTGCTGTATACAATTTCTTTTTGTTGCGTTCTTTTAATCTGAAAAGAGGTAATCCCTCTCCACTCTTGCAAATAAGGCAGTTTTACCCAAATATAGAAATGATAGATAATGCAAAACAGCATAGTATTAATTTCCTCTCTTTTTAAAAAGCTTTGTGTATCCATCACACTTGAAAATGAATTGCAAAATATATGTTGACTTTAACACAAATCAGAAAAACTTGCTGATTTGATCTTCCTGTGCAGTTAGATTTATTACTTTATTCCTCTCTCCTCTCCTTCCCCAATATGGCAATAGTCACAAAAGCAATTTCCCATAATTATATTGCATAATTCTGAAAAAGAAATGACAAAAACAGTCTTCACCCCTTAAATTTGAAGATTTACATTATGATACTCAATGAGGTTATCTCTAGTCACTGAATCTATAATCCAGGCTCAACAGAGCATATATTGTTATGCTACTTTAGAAAAGCACTGAATTTGATGAAACAATTTTATGGGGGGGGGCATATCTATAAGAACAGTGTTACAAATACCTTAATGGCTGAATGATGTAAATGTAGGATTTTACAATATTTTAGTGGTATTTAGCTGTAACATTAAAATGCTGGTTTCAATATCTGTTCAGGAAATATTATATATGCAGGGTGTTCCCAATTGCTGTTAAAAAACAAGAATAAATTTTCATTTTCATCAAGGATTTTTTTTTTATTTGTGATTCTGTGGTTGTATTTTATATGCATCCACAGATCATTGTTTCTTCATTGCTGCTTGGCTATAAAGCTTATAGTGAAGCAGATTGAAGGAAAAAGTAAATACATTTTCCACTCCAGCTGAGCAAATCTGTGTGGGCCTCTTAGCTTGTTGTCACTACCCGCTTGTGTAACTAAACAGACCAGTTCAAAGTTAATGTGGGTGTAGGTTTTTTCATCTTAAAATTGGTCAATCCCAAAATTACACATTTCCCTTCAATGTGTTTCTTGCCCATTATGTCTGAGGGAAAGAGACTAACCAAATGTTATTGTGAACAAAGTTCATTCCCTCCTCCTAGGGGGACACTCTTTTTCCAGAGGGAAATTGGTACACCTTGAATTGGGGATACAAATGGAAACTCATTTAATAAAAAGTCTGGGAGCTTAGCATTCTACCGGCCCTTTCTAATTTCATGCCTATATTTTAGGCACTTCACTCTGGGTTCTGCTATGCCTTTTAGCCTAAAAACTATGAAAACAATATTTCATAGATGTTAGTATTGAGGCTATAGTGGGATTTTCACACATACCCCTTTCATACTTCTCATTTTGATTTCTTCTTCTGCTAGCATTTGGCTCTTTGCATTTATCTTATAGACACAAAGAATTGTGAAAGTGCTCTAAGAAAATCACAGAAACTATAATATGTAGACATTATTATTTTAAATAGGATACAAACCTCTAAAAAACTATGGTTCTTATAATTTTCTATATTTATATCCCTACTTCTAATATATTGATTGGAAATTAATCAATTGAAAAAACAACTTTTAATTCACACTTTTAAAAGTTTCTTTATTAATAAAAGAAAAGGGGATTATTTATATGTAAAGGAACATCAACCTTTCTTATAAATATTGTCAGTATTATCCTGTTTGGTTATCATTTCATTCTCTCCCAATCATGTTTCTTTTGATATCTAGTTCTAACACTTGCATGCACCATATGCTTCTTCTTATTCCTCTCTCTGTCTCTCACTCTCTGTCTTTCTTTCTGTTTCTGTCTCTGTCTCTGTCTCTCTGTCTCTGTCTCTCTCCCTCCCTCTCTCTCTCTCTCTCTCTCTCTCTCTCTCTCTCTCTCTCTCTCTCTCTCTCTCTCTCTTTGTTACCAACTACATACAAATATAAGGGAAAGCCATATGATATTATGAATAACGACCTGGGTTCAAGTCATACCTTTGACATAGATTACCTGAGTAACTCTGCTCAAGTCACTTAACCTCTCATTGCCATGACAGTGATCTCAATTACAAGATGAGGAGATACTAAGAGTGGCAAATTTATATTAGGAGTATAAGTTCATCCATGAAAGGACTCCTACAGTCATGGAATCATAGAACTCATTAATTTTTTTTGTATGTGAATATACATACGTCATTAAAATACCATAAAATACAATTTTATTGATATCCACATATATCCTAAAACAACAATATCATTATTCATACACCTTCTAATTATTCTCCTTTACAAAGGAAATTCTAGTGTTGAGTACAAATTTGGGTTCATATCTAGACACATAAACAACAGTCATTGATTTTAATGTGCTAATTTAAATACATCCTTCTGATAGACAATAGACACTAATCTCTTCATAATAATAATATAACTGATTTACTTTTGTTACACTGTAAGGAGAGTGCTCTTATTTAGGATCATAGGATCACAAGTTTAGAGTTTCAAGAAATTTTCAAAGTCCCCTAGTCCAGTGGTTTCAAACTCAAATAGAAATGGGGTCTATTTACTGTACATAAAAATCCCTGCAAGCTGCATATTCACTTAGAAAACCAAAAACTAACATTTCCATTCTGTTGTATTTTTTTCTATTTTATTACATATGTCTCAATTACATTTTAATCTTCTTAGACCCTGAGTATCATTGCCACGAGTAGCTTGTTTGATACCTCTGCTCTAATCTAACCTCCTCGTGTGTTAGGGAAGAGTCTCAGGGTCAGAGAGGTGAGATAATTTTTGCCAAGTCACATACATAGGAAGGCATGGAATCAAAGCTAGAATCCAGATCTCTTGAGAGTTTTTGGTCATTGGAGGCCTCATGTGTCATTCACTTCCCAGCAACCACTTGGAGCTTTAATGTTAAAAGCAGTTACTCCTTTTCCCCATAAAAGTCATAGATGGTGGACTTCATTCACTTTTCTTCATAATTCATTTTTTGTTAAATAATTGGTCTCAGAAAAAGCTTCCTCCCATTTCAATGTTCCTTGATGTTCATTTTTTTTTCATAAATATTTTCCCTCTTTTTTGTTCCTTGAGATGTCCTTTACATTTTTATATCAGGAAAAGAAAATATAAGGAATTCCAGGTATTTGTTCATTCTAAATTCTTTGTAAACAGTATGATCTTCTTTTCAATTAGCAAAGGAGAGTCTGAGACTGCTGGCCTTTTCATCCCCTTTCTCCTTTGAAGCTAAGTGGTATTTTGCTTTGGCAACTAAAAATTATATGTAAACTAATAGTATTTCCCACATATACAATTGAAGTTTACGGATCACTTTCCTCACAATAATCCTTTGACTCAGATAGTATGACATCCTCATTTCACACATAAGGAAACAGGTTCAAAGAAGTTAAGTGGCTCACCAGTAGTCATACAGGTAGTCAGCACTAGGACCTAGACTTGAAACCAGATCTCTTTATTCTAAGATCAATATTCTTTCCACTACATCAATTAAACTCTTCAACTGTGGGGACTTTTGCAACTAGGTTTTTTGCTAATAGATACTGCTTACATTTTGTTGGTTTCTTTTTATGGCTTATAAAAAGGGTCAGAGTCTTTCCTTTGTGGAGAATGTTAAATAAACTTCAAATAAAACCATCTTTAAGTACAGTTACATTGCAATTTTCTATGCTAACTTCACTGAGAATCACCTTTGGGAGATAGATGACATTGTATGTGAAATGAACTCCTCCTCAGTGAGTTTGCCATTCATTCATTTCCTTGGTCTTTTCCACATCAATCAGGGAGCAACCAATTTGGTTCCATATATGGCCATACATCTGTGATGACAGGAAGCTTGCTAGATGATCACCACTGGCATTCTGTTATTATTGAACGCCATGGACGGAACATCAACCTGACTCTGGATAGGCATTTGCAACATTTTCGGACGAATGGAGAATTTGATTATCTGGACTTGGATTATGAGGTAATTAAATAGATGTAAATAATGATAACATGGGGTTATTATATTGAATAACTCCATTCTATGGAACCTAAGCATGTCTTTCTCCACATTTTGTTTTCTTTCTGCCACATGCTTCTTTATGCCACCTATTTTTTCTCATGATTGTAAGACAGAAGCTTTCAAATTTAAAAGTCATTTGGCATGCTCAAATAAATGAGTCTTTTTTTTCATAATGATCAAACATCCACATGATATGAGTTTATTTAATTTTTATAGATATTACTTGAGCTATTTTTGAAAAGCATGAATTAACTGAACTCTACAATCTCTGTATATCATTCTAATGCAGGAATTATTCATGGTGTTATCAATGATTGTCCAGTGAGCTTAAAGTTACTTGAAAAATTCTGAAAGTTTCACTCTAGTTTAATATTTTAATTGAGATTATGCATGTTTGTGTATATATATATATATATATATATATATATATACACATACATATATGTATAAAATGTATTTCACTGTATATATGCATATCTTTATGTACATATACGCACATATATACAGAGGACTATATAGTGATTATAATGCATTCTGAGTGTGGCTCAACTATTGAGGGGTGATTTAGCATTATAAATTCCAGCTTGTGTTAAGCTGTTTCTAATATAATGAGCTTATGGAGGTTATTTTAGCATTTCTATTCAATGTACATTTTTTCATTGATTACCAAAGCAGATATGTATTATGACTTGTAGTATGTTTTACATTCTTAAGAATGGGCTATGTAGCCACCTCTGTGAAACAGTTTAATTCTAATACTATATAGGATTCAGTGTTAAAAATAAACATGAGACATATAATTATAAGGTAATACAAACATATATATGTGCATGTATACATATATTATATAATATGGTATACGTGTATGGAGACGGGGGGGTGTTTTGGTTGCTACTATCCTCAAATTAGTGGTGTGAATTTTTTGTCTTTTAAGAAAAGATCATAGAATGAAAAAATAATGAAAATACTTAAAAGTAATCTACATCAACTATTTTAGCTCACAGAGAAGCAAAATGAGTTCTAGTTTCGTTAAGAATATTTCTCTGTGTCTATCTCTATCTCCCTATTTCTCTGTCTCTGTCTCTCTGTTTCTCTCTCTTTCTTTCTCTGTCCCTGTGTCTGTCTTTCTATCTCTTTATCTCTACCTTTCTGTTTCTCTGTCTCTGCCTCTGTCTCTGTCACACACACACACACACACACACACACACACACACACACGCTAAAAATGTACTGTATTAGAATAAATGTACATCAAAGCACATCAGCTATAATACAATAAATGCATGCTATTCTCTTCAGTACTATTTCTATCTCAACTGTAAGTATATTCAAGATAGTGATAGTAGAGTTTGTGTGGTTAACCTAGTGGTGTTTAAAAAAATATAAAATATGTCCAGATCCTTTCCATTTTTCTTCTTTTTATTTTCTGCTTTCTATTTTTATTCATAAATATCCTTGGAAAGCTTTTGCTAGGTTGGGCCTCCTGCAAAAGTTATTTAAACTGGTTTTATCCTCTACTATTTCTGTCTCTTTTATCAGATGATATAATTAATAATCCATCATCCTTCTATATAAGATTTCACAATTGAATTCACATTCTAAGTTGATGTTTCTTATCACAGTTGTCTCTTCTCATTTGTGGAGTAAAGCAAGGGTTTACTAAGTAGGACACTGTTAATCTATTTTGGTCTCATTATGACAATATAAGTTAAATGAAATAATTGTAGTTTGTGTCTTTTCCTTTTTTCTATCCTTATCGTAGTTTTACCATCAATAACTTCTTTAAATAAGATATTATAACTTTGTACAATAAGATTTTAATTGTGCACCATATCCTCTTTCTCATCTTCATTGTGTCTTATACCTTTATACTCTTTTTTTTATATTTGCCCTAACAAGTCAGTGGCTTGATGATACATACACAGTTCATTAAGGAAATGTTCCTTAATGATCAGAAACAACTTAATTCCTGACTTTTGCAATAGAAGCAATTTCTTTTTTTCAAGTTATCCAGTGCTCACTATATCCAGTGCACTTCAATTCTTTTCTTAAAGTCTTCATAGAATCATAGATCTAGAGGTAGAAGAGCCCTTGGGGGACATCTTGTTCAGTCACTTCATTTTAGAGATAACGAAACTAAGGCTCACGGATATTAACGGTTCATGGTATATGTGTGAAGCTTGAGTATAGTCCACAAGTCTTAGGGCTTTCTCGTTCCTTATTCCTGAACTTTATTCACCAGGTTATTTCTTTATATCCTCGGCTATTCCCACCAATGTACTAAAGAAAACAAGTTTTAGCATATATGATAGCTTTATTTGGAAGATCTAGAATTTCTTTTATCTGTTCATCCTCTGCAACAGATATTGATGTGTAAACTATTATTTACAAAGTGCTCTTTTCCAAATGCTTATTATGAGCACTGTAATATGATTTAACACATATTCCATGAAATTCTAATTCTAGTTGGCTTTGGATACATTAGCACTACCACCACCACCATGACAAACAACAACAACAACGACAAGAAACCAATCACACTAGCTCCTTTAATTGGCTTCTTAAGGAGAATCTGTGGTCTACCCTCCCACAGAGACAATAGCTTCCTTGCTTCTATTTATTTCATTTATTTCAAGTGTGTCAAAATTGGAATGAAGCAGTTCCTCTGGTTGTACATCCATTTAGTCAATGAATGAGAAGCTTACATTTTGAGTAACAACAACTAAATTAAAATTCACACATAAAATGAAATCTCTGTGATTCTTGGTCTTTTCTTTCACTTTTTTCTTCCGTGGTCCCTGAAAAGTAGAAAGGAGCGATGTGGAACTGAGAACCATTTTGTATTTTTCTTTATTTCATTGGTTACTATAGCTGAATAATTTGATATTAAATGGCTAGCCTATTGGTGATGAATCTCTCTGCATTTAGATAGACTGGCACTCAGAAAGTAGACCCAAAGTGCTGTCATAACTGTGCTCAAAGTATTCCTTGGAAAATAGAACTTTTTTTTTATTGTGCTATTCTGATTCTTCATTATATATTGTAGTAATCCTGGATTTTCTAATGAGGATATACGGGTCAACAATTTGTTAAAGAGATTTTGGTCACCTAGAAAGCGACACATTAAATTTCTTATATAAGTTACAAAATAAAATCTATCAACTTCAGATTCTGATATTTTATATTGTTAAGTGGTATAACCCAAGTTATGGTTTGCTGAGCTATTCTGGTTTAAGGTCAAACAACCATTCTATGAATATGAATGTTCCTCACTAAATCAGAATTAATAGTATATTCATATTTGCATAGCATTTCACCCTTTTCAAATCAATTTTTAAAAAAATCATTACCCTGGATTTTTATAACTGTCTTGTACATTAGCCAGTATGGATACTATTTCTTTGATTTTAGAGATAGCAAAAGTCTCACAAAGATTAAGTGACTGTCAGAAGTTGTAGAATCACAGATTTAAAAATAGAAGGGACCTCATAGGTCACAGTGCCAGTAAACATCTAAATCAGAACTAGAATTCAGGTCTTCTGTTTCTATCCCCTGCACCACATTTCCTTACTAATAAAAAATCATTAAAGTTAAGACTTGCAAGGGATCTTAGAGATTCTCTATTCCTACTCAATTTTAAAAAAAAATTAAATTCAGATATTAAATGACTTGCTAAAGGTAAAAAAAAAACTAGCTAATAGTATGAAGATTCAATTTACATCTACTTTCTCTACCTGTGGAAAGAAAATATAGGAGAGAAATTACACTAGACCTTAGAGTGATCCATAGAGTGTAAGTGCATGGGAAAAAAATAATAATATAAGTTAAAAATAATAATAATTATTCTCAAATGCTAGCATGTGTGTTGTTATTAAATGAAGTAGCATAAGTAAATTGCTTTGCAAACTTAAACTGCTATATAAAAGCTAGCAAGCTATTATTACTGTTATTATTGTACCATTGAGTATAGGACAAGTATATTGCTATTCATTTTTTGAGAGAGTAGGAGAGAAGAAGAGAAACCTTGAAAGGAAGTAAGCGTCAATTCCCTCTTTCTGTTTGGTCTCCAATAATTTCAATTCCATATAATTCCATATTCTTTTCCTAATATGCATGTTACTTTCTACTTTTCCCATTTTTTTTCCTTTTCTCTCCATTGACTGTGTGGAACAATAGAAAAGCCACTTTCTCTGGAGTCAAATGACTGGGTTCAAATCCTAACTCCAACTCTTAATGTTGGTGTGATCTTAGACAAGTCACTTGCCTCTGGATCTCAATTTCTGTATCTGTAAAATGAGTAGCTTGGACTGGATGACCTCCTAGATCTCTTCTAGTTCTAAATCTGTTCCCTTATTAGAAAAAACTTTTTTCCCCATCATTTATGAATCTCTTCTTATCTCTACTATTTTTCCTACTAGTCGATAGTGTCCAAACATGTATAGAGATATATAGCTTATCATTCCATGTAACATTTCTTTGCATTTCAAATGTCTTCCATTTCTTTTCTCGGTGTATTACTCCAAACTCTGTTCGTTTTAGTTTCCTAAGACTAAATAGGCATGCAAAAATACTGTGACACTCAATAGTGGTTCATAATTTGTTCATGCATCCTCTGAGGTTCAGAAATCTTTACCTTATGTTTAAAATATAAAGCCCTGACATTTTAAAATTAATTTTCATTTTTAAAAAATTCTAAAGGAAATGAGAGAAAACATTTTATGGCAAGGATAAGAAATAGCTTTAAGTAAAACACCTGTGTCAGATCGCTGGCTTTCTTAATGGGTGGGGGAGGGGCTGGAAGGGGAAGAGAATTTGATACTGAAAGTAAAAATCTAACAAAAATAAACAAATAGAAATGTGCATTTTAAAATGTTTTAGTATTAGTAAGCTTGTTTTATATGTTTTGTTGGTGGTGTTATTAGTAGTAGTAGTAGTATTAAGAAATGAGAGTATTTCACTTAATCCAATCATTCATTTATTTATTTAGTTGTTTGTTTACCTTTCTTATTTATTTATTTATTTGTGTGTTTGTGTGTTGGTTTATTTTTTATTTTATAAAGCTGCTAGTGGAGAGCAAAAAAAGTAGAATCTGTTCCTAATTCCCAAGGTCCTTGGAACTGGTGGTGAATCTAAGCTAACCTAGATCCTATAAGCTATCTGCCCCCAGCAATAAAAATCCTCAGTATGTACAGGGCTAAATCCATCCTTATTTGAATCTAAATGTTAGAAGAGTACTAGACCTTCTGGGACAATTCAGGGACATAATCTGAAAATTCAACTTGCCTTATGACATTTTTCCAAAGCAGAGCTGGAAATAATTTCTGACTTTAAATAGTAGAACATTTGACAGGATTCTTCACCTTGTGAAATCCACAAGTCAAATTATCATCATTATTTTTTTTAACACATAGCATTAGTAATTTTTTGTTTTGCAAGAGTTCAGGAAAGGATGATTGGACTGAGAAACAGTAGCAATAAAATTCAAACTTACAAAGACTTTTAGTCCAAAAGCTTCATTTACCAGGGCAGCTAGATGGGGCAGTAGATAAAGCTCCAGCCTTGGAGTCAGGATGACCTGAGTTCAAATCTGGCTTCAGACACTTGACATTTATTAGCTGTATGACCCTGGCCAAAACACTTAACCCCAATTGCCACACACACACGCACACACACACACAGAGTTTCATTTCTTACCTACCCCCTAGAGGCAAACTTTTATAGCTACAGATTTATACATATAAAATTGAAAAGGCCCTCTAGTTTGTCCCTTTCATATTTTGTGTGAAATAGCTGAGGCCCAGAGATGTCAAATGATTGCCTATAGTTGACACTGGTGTTAAAACAGACGTGGTATCGGATGCCTTTCTTTCATACAAATGAAATTTGGGAGGATAGTCTAATCCCCATAGAGTAAATGAGACCCACTAGAGCTCATGATTTCAATTGTTGCCTCAATCTTTTCATGCTGTTGGAAAGATTTAACAATCGAGCATCTCATAATTGTTATATGAGCAGTGAGTTTTGTTGTTGTTGCTGCTGTTGTTCTTGGTGTTATTTTTCTGGTTTATTTTTGCTTGTCAAGGTGCTGGAAGACGAGTTCAGTCTGTTGTCTTGTAAACACAACACTGCAAAAAAATTTTTCACCCAAGTTTGGTAGCTCCCCATACATCTCCATGTAGTTAGAGTTGCCCCTTGGACATTCTGTCACGCATTCATACTCACAGATTCTTCAATTGTTTCCTAGAATAAAACAATCTTAGAATTTGGAGGTATCTCAGAGGTCATCTAGTCTAATCTAGAATTAAACAAGAATCTGTTTATACCATGGAAGAAAACTAGTTTTGCCCTGTTAAAGAAAAGTTGACAACAAAAGCACTTCCTCTATATTTTAGCCCTTCAAAAATTTGAAGGTAGATGTAAACATTTAAATTATTCTGGTTAGAAATATCTATCTATCTATCGATCGATCAATATAGATATAGATATATGTGTATAAATATGTATCTATTCTATAATGTTATATATGTGTATATATGTATGTATGTGCATGTATACATGCATATATAAAATGTATATTATATGTGCATGTATACATGCATATATAAAGTATATTATATGTACACATATAGGCACATGCAGACGCATATATAAACATGTATGTATGTTTGTGGGTGTGTATATATATGCATGCATGTATATTCTACAATGTCAAATTCATGTGTGTATCTATGTATGTGTGTGTATTGGGAGAGGAGACAATATACACATGTGTTTATATTCGTATATTCTATAACGTCAAATTTATATATGGAATAGAATATATGCATATGTGTGCATATAATATGTACACACATATGTGTGTATATGCACAGTGATGTGTATGCACATATACATACTCATGTATACACATATATGTATATAATAAATATATGTTTGTATGTATATGCATTCTACAATGTCAAATCCTATATACATAGAATATACTACATGTGTATACACATTTGCATGTGCATTGTATATGTCTTTGTATGTTTGTATATGTGTTATATACATGTACACAGCTGAATACATGCAAACATGCATGCATACATATAATCACTGTCCTTTTTATCTACTACTAAACCAGTGATTCGTTTCTGTGTTATCAAAGTCTTACTCTAGTTTCTTTACTAGATTCAATATTTGCCTCTTTCATGATATTATGACTATTTCACATAATTAAAGAGAATATGCCATCCTTGACTTTCAAATATTAACAAATATATGGCAAAAGCACCTTGACTTTTTCACCTTGTTCATAAATTCTTAGAAAACTTTTTCAATTAAATCTGTAAAAAAACCTACAGCAGCAAGTACAGAATAATAGCACCCAATTATATGATACTGGTGGCAACTTAATTATTTTTGAAATCGTATTACCCTCAGTAATATTTCCTTTAGGGAAGATTTGTTTTACTGTACAAAGACTTTCCTAGTAAACGGGAGAAGGATATTTTGACATTGTTTTCAACATGGAGAGATTTGCCCACATTTTATTCTGTGACTAGCCTCCATCACTGGATAATGTATCTACTTTTTTCCGTGTGCTATTTTAAAAATGTATTTATATTGTTCTGTACATCTTCATCTTTCTCAAAGATAACCTTTGGAGGTCTGCCTTTTTCTGGGAAACCAAGTTCCAACAGTAGAAAGAATTTCAAAGGATGCATGGAAAGCATTAACTACAATGGGAATAATATTACTGATCTTGCCAAGAGGAAAAAGTTAGAGCCTTCCAATGTGGTAAGTCCTGTCTGTTTAATGAATTTTAGTCTATAGATAAATGAAAGAAGGTCACTTGTCTGAACTAGTAATTTATCATGTACAGAAGAAGGGAGGATTGGTGACATTGGAGTCAAAAAGCAGGAATTAGGAAAATAACTTACATTTGTGAAGAACTTTAAGCTTTTTGAAGCTTCTGCTTTAATATGCAACAAACATATGATATAGTTAGAAACCTTAGTGTTATTACAAATCACATATTTTAAGGGTTTCAAGGGACCTTTGAGACAATCAACTAGATCTACTGTGAAAAAGAATCCTCTATAAACTATAGCATATGCAACAAGTGGTCACTTCAGGTGTTGTTTCAAGATTTCTAATGAAATTTAAAAATTACTACTCCTGAAGCAGCCTATATTACTTTGGGTCATAAAATGATGCTTACACTCCTGACACATCTCAGGTTTAGATGACTGTAGCAGAATTAGGCTAAAGACACGTTAGTGGATCTCATTAATGTGACACAAACAACTAGTATTTTCAAGTTCTCTACAAAGAGTAAAAATATATCAATTATAGGGGATAACTTGGAGCCATATATTCCTAGTCCAGTTGAAATTTTATAAGTAGATCTCTATTTGCAAATGCATTTTAAATGACATTACATTTAAGATATTTTATGTAATGCAATATATGAAAAAAAGTTTTAAAAAAACAGTTCTCTTATTTTTGTGTTCTGTAAGAGGAGAAGAAAAATTTTAATAGGAAAGCCAAACAATTTAAATTTTGAAAGAGAACCACTTAAAATAACATTTATACCTGCATTAAAGGTGGCATCACCAGAGTAATACTTTCCAACAAAAAAACTTAAAAATTTGGGGTCTGGTGCCTAGACCACTTCCCTATCTCTAACTTTGGTGTGAATTCGCTAAACTAGGACCAGACCTTAACCAAATGTGGACCCTCTTAATCTCTGTATTTTATGGGAAGCTTAGGATTCATCATAGCTATATCAATGGGAAAGGGTAGAATGAAAGTTTTTTAAAAATTTAACAATAATGTGGGCCTTTGTACTTCCAAGAACAATTAGTATCTACTGCCCAGTTACTGGACCATGAGATAAACATAAAAGTAGCAGTCAATTAGAAATCCTTAGGGCCTTAACAGTGGTAAGTTCAGATCTTCAATATGACTGAATTTACTACAATGTTTAAATATAAAAGTCACTAACTCTGATGACAAGAAAAAAAAATAACTCCAACCTTTAAAAATAAAATACAGTTGGACTTAATCTATGTGTTGAAATTGAAATTTAAAAGAAAATTTCTGATGAAGTAATTTAAGTATAAGATTGTTTTATGTGAGGATATAATCTATAATTGTATATAGTCAAATGCAACTAGATATCAGAGTAAGATAGATTACTGAATTTTGAATTAAAAAGCCCTCAGTTGTATTCTGGCCCCAGCTATTTCTACACTACATGACCTTGAGTAAGTCACTGAATCCCTCTTTATTTCAGTATACTCATCTATGAAATGGGCATAAAAATAGTACTTAATACAAAGGGTTATTTTGAAGAGTAATGAGATAACATACATAAGGCACTTTATAAACCTTCAAGTGCTGTATATATTCTAGCTATGAACATAATTATTCATAACGATGATCATTTTTAGCCCTGAGGACTAATATAGTAGTGTGGGCAATCCATTTTGTTGGCCCATTTATGCAAAAATAAACTGTTTAGTCATTTTTACATGAATTTATTAAGCACCTGCTTTGTTCCTAGCACTCTGTAAGCCACTGAGCAAAAAAGAGACAAATTAAACTGTTCTTATCCTCATTTGTTACCTAAAAATTTCTAAACATGGGAACAAGTATCTGTGACTGGCACTTTCATTTCAAACTATTATTTATGTTATATTTCATTGAGGGTTTTTTTTTTGTATGAGTCAATGGGATGGACATTTATTAAATACCTTCTGACTCTCTCTGTTTGATTCCTGAGCCACTTTCACTTGATTCACAGATCTATGTAAAGTATGAAGTCTATGCAAAAGATCTCACAAAATATATGTAGGTGCTCCTGAATAGCTAAGTGTATGGAATATAAAAGGAAGTGAGGATATTCTATGATCATAACCATTTAAAATACACATAAACAAATATGCATAAAGGGAGGAACACACACACTTGCACACATGCACACACACACACACACATACACACACACACACACACACGCACACACACACATACACACACACACACGCTACATTCCCAACAGTGAAATGAAATTTAGAGCCAGAATTTAAATTCATTCTGAAAGCTCTAGGCAAAACAAAGAGAAGTGGGGGATTATATAGAAAGAACTTCTAGACGAGAGCAAATATTTGTGCATGAGACTTGCTTTCAAAGATGCTGGAGGCTGACATTTCAGTGAAAGATTGACACACAAAACACACTGCCACTTTCCCTCATTACATCCAGGCTGCAGAGTTTGCCACTGATCACTCAAGAAAAGCCTTTTACTTTGCCATAAAGACAGTTCTTATGATTCAAGTATGTGGTCAGGTCCAAGAGCCCAGCTAATAAGCAAAGACAGTCCCTTTCATCACTTAAAGGAAATATTTTAAAACAATCATCTGTGAAGGTTTAGAGTTTAAATTTAATTTGAATATTAATTCAAAGAGACATGAAGCTTTAGATCTGATTCTTAATGTGCTGACGTGTTGCACAGGTGTGAAAAACCCATGGCATTTTAGGGTATACAAGGGTTTGGAGGGAAAAACAAATTGAAGGACAGAATGAAAATGTCATCTTCACAGACTATGTCTACACATTAAAAATGAATGGAGCCAAGGCAATTTATCCAAATAATTTCAGCAAAGATAATACTTTTCCCTCAAGTTATCAAAATCTTTCTCAGCAAACATCATTGGTTTAATTGCCTCTTTCACTATTTTACGTCTAGACCCTGAATTTGTGAATTATTGTCAGGCTGTCTGAACATAATCCCATTGCTAAGCCATGTATATTAGTCTGTCAAATTATCAGGGCAGCATACATATAGCAGTGGCATACATGAGAACAATGCTAAAATATTACTGCCTGGAAAGCAAGATTTGGAATGAAATTAAATCACCTAATTGCCTCATCTATGCAAAATTATTTATTGGGATACAAAAGAGCGTTGTTATCAAAACTTTAACTATTAACTCTTAAACTTTGGGCAAATTCAATTGTGGACATTGGTTGCTCTGTCATGGAAGACAATCTGTCCAGTTGTAGACATGTATGAAAAGAGATATCTCATCTTCTCAGAAAGTCCATCCCATGCCTTAAGGACGTAATCACTTGTTATCCCAAGGAAAAAGTGGATGAAGGAAAGTACTGGGAAAAATAAGTCCATGGGAGACAGACAACACCATGATTATGAGACTCACTGTGAAGAAATGACGTAGGGCAGGATGGGGAAACAGACCATGAAATGCAGTAGTAGCAAAAGAAATGACTGCTATAACAAATAGTTGCCTCCATCCATGTGTCAGTGAATTGTGGCCATGTTCCAGTCCCCCTACCCTAGTTATAGATATAATTGATATAGCATAGGCTTTCCTATGAATTTGTCTTAGTGTATGAACCACAAATAAATAATATAGAATGAAACCTTAGTGTAATTGAATCTGGTTGTATTTCAGCCCACCAGAGATTTCAGTAATTTTCTCCTGATCCTTTAGTAATCTGAATGAGTTAATAAATTTCCCTGAGGACCTATTTACCACAGTAAGAAATTCTCTTAAAAAAAAAAAAGAAACAGAAAACAAAAAAAACAAACACCCCCCCAAAATCCTGCTTAGTTTGTGGCCAAATAGAGTGAGGTTTGGGATTTTTTAGAATAATGACTTATAGTTTCATGAGCTTAAAAAAAAGTCATTAAAATATTAAAAATAAAAAGAGAATAAAATAGTGATCAGAAGACTTGGGTTCTCCTATTGCCTCTGTTTCTAACAAAGTTAATAACCTTGACCAAGTCACTGGACTTCACTTCCATCATTTGCCACACGGGGAGTAATACTAGGCCTCCAAAGTTGTTTTTACCTCAAATACTCTTAAATTTAAATTATTATAATTACATATTCTGAATTATTTTTTCATCACACTGAAAAGAATTATGCAGAATAAAAGAAAGGTTGACAGACAGCTTGTAGAAAGAGGAAATACTTAGTCTAAGTTCACACAGGTCATAAGCTGCAAAGCTGCAGTTCACATCCAGGGCATCTGCTTCAAAATCAAGCATTCTCCTGCATCACAGTTCCAGCATCATGATTCTTTAGCACTTTCAAAATTAGTGCTATGAATCTGGGGAAAGGGTAAGGGGGTGCGGCATTAACATTGATGATCAGTGTCAAAGTAAGAGCTCACACATCTTGGTTCTGAAAGTGAAACAAGAACTTTTTTCTAAAATGTCAGGTTTCCACGCAGTGAAACAAAAGTGCTATTCTTTCTGTTCATCTGAGAGTGGTAAATGATATATTAATGAGCATATCTGTTATAATCCAGCTAATGTTCGATAGAGGGCAATGACACCTATCCCTCCACACTGTGTTCATGAATCATACTGTCACCATGGGAAGATATAAATCAGAAATGAATACTCCAGAAGCATATCTGCTATCTTCCCTCCAACAGAACATCCTTACACGTGCACACACACATACACACACACACACACACACACACAGAGTCATCAATGTACACAGATCACATTTGTCTAACTAATGCATCACATAATATCATGTCTCCTTCCACAAGTAATGGGGCTATGTTGTACACCTTGACTTGATAGGCTTCTAAATGTGATATTAATGACACAGAATGTTTATTAATGAAGAAATATTCAACCATCCATCTTCATGCCATGGTCTCAAGTAAATCAGTGGGTATTTGGGATAAGTTTATGTTTTGGTTTGAAACTTGGGGGTTCATAAGTGTACCACTGGATTATAAAACTAATTGGTTATCTTCAGTAGGTACATGAAGTTTTTGTTTGTCTTTTTGTTTGTTTGTTTGTTTGTTTGTTTTGCTTTAGGGAAATTTAAGTTTTTCTTGTGTGGAGCCACATACGGTCCCTGTGTTCTTCAATGCCACAAGTTACCTGGAGGTACTTGGCCGCCCCAACCAGGATCTATTTTCAGTCAGTTTCCAGTTCAGGACATGGAATCCCAATGGCCTTCTGCTCTTCAGCAACTTTGCAGATGGTTTAGGGAATGTGGAGATTGACCTCACTGAGAGCAAAGTTGGTGTCCGTATCAACATTACATTAAACAAAAAGAATCAAATCGACATTTCCTCAGGTCAGTGAAAACATATTTACTATTGAAACTATCCACGTGAAGTCCACAGAAGTACCTTTAGCAGTCAGTGTCGTTCTAAGTGTAACCCTGTATTAATGGAGGGTTTGGAGAAAACTATTTCTATTGAATAGTCAGTTGAATGAACAAGGTAAACTTTATAAAAATGCTCCTGATATTCTTTGAAAATATTTCACTGTGATCATTTACTCTTCTCTCTGCATTTCCATCTACCTGAGTAAATATTTTTCTAACAGGTATGGATACTAATCTCAAGTAATATAAAACAGTGCCTGGTCACTTGATATAAAGTTGACTTTTAATGTCCCTTGTCCAGGACTGGTTTCCAACTCTTGACAACAGGATCTTATTTGAATTAGGATACAAATAATATAGATAAAGGTCTTTCTACCTATCTATCTATCTATCTATCTATCTATCTATCTATATCTATTTATCTATATCTACCTATATCTACCTATCTATAGATAGATAGATATAGATAGATAGATAGATATAGATACATATCTGTAGGTTATATCAAATACTAGTCAGTGAATCATAGTGAGCTGGGCTAATATTTTTTATTGCCAAATTAGAAAGTTACTCTCCTCCCCCCCAAAAAAAAGTCAGTAGGGAAAATGTGTGTAAGGAAGAATAGATGACTTCTGAGATATAGATTATAGAATGATTATTTAGGCAAAGTAGGATAGGAAAAAAAAATATTGGTGTCCCCCTATACAGTTGAATCCCCAGGGCATTGTTCTTAAGAAGATACAATAAATAGTCTTGAGGTAATGTTCTTATCTACACTGAAGGTACTTAAAAAGGAAATTAGTTTCAAGTGTAACAAGGGACTTTGTCTAGAAACAAGGAAAGTTTAAGCAAGGTATTGAGTTGTTTAACCCTGGAATTGGTTATTGATCTTCTCCCACACTTGTTTCTAGGAGACAGTCATGTGCTTTCAGTGGTTTGAGTGAAAGCCAATTTAGAAATGAAAGGCTGGACCAGATGATTTTATTGCTATTGCCTTTAGATTTTGATTCTCTGAATCTAGGTAATACTAATGGAAAGATTCCTCTTTGCAATAAGGGTTTGGAAGAGGGAGTATATCTTTTTTAGTTTCATATGTAATATTTATATAGTTTGGCTAAGAATGGGTCATTGGAAAAAACTGCTCAGTAGAGGACAAAAAATCTTATTTTTAACACTAAAAATATGATAAAATTACAAATATAAATTATTTCTATTAAGTGTGAAATCTGAAGAGATTTTTTTTTGCTAAATCCTTGAACACAACTTGTAACATCAGAATGATTACTTAGCTACAGGATGAAAATTAGCCAGAATGGAAATTTACATAATGTAAATAAAAAATCTTTTCTTACTTCTTTGCCTATCCCTTAAATATACCTATTAATAGTCGTGGATAAATGAAGATCATATATTTCGAAGTGCTAAAATAAATCAAAGAAATAATAATATCAGTGTTGTATTTGTTTTCTTTCCCTGATATATTTATCACGCATGTTTTTTGTAATATAATTACCTATGTATCCTCTTCCCTTGCCAGATTATGAGGTACATGAAGGCAGACAATGTCTTATCCAAACTTCCTATTCTTTCCATTAATTTGCACTATGTTCTACACTCCTTTCATCAATATTATTTTATTTTTTCCAATTATATATAAATATAGTTTTCAACATTCATTTTTGTAAACTTTTGAGCTTCAATTTCTTCCACCTTCCTCCCTTCCCTGCCCCTTCCCTAAAATAGAAAGCAGCCTGATGTAAGTTATGTATGTACAATCATGTTATTTCTACATCAGTCATGTTGTGAAAGAAGAATCAGAACAAAAGGGAAAAACTACCAGAAATTTTTTAAAAAATGAAAAGAGTGTGCTTCAATCTGCATTCAGACTTTATAGTTCTTTCTCTGGATATGGTTAATGTTTTCTATCACAAATCTTTTGAAAATTGTTTTGGATCATTTTATTGCTGAAAAGACCTAAGTCTATCATAGTTAATCATCATACAGTGTTGCTGTTGCTATGTACAATATTCTCCTGGTTCTACTCACTTCACTCAGTGTCATTTCATGTAAGTCTTTGCAGGGTTTTTTTTTTCTGAAATTTGCCTACTCGTTATTTCTTATAGAACAATAATATTCCATTACATTCATATACTACAACTGTTCAGTCATTCCACAATCAATGGATATCCCCTTTATTTCCAATTCTTTACCACCACAAAAAGAGCTGCTACAAACATTTTTGTACATGTGGGTGCTTTTCCCTTTTTTTATAACCTATTTTGTATGCAGACCTAGTAGTGCCATTGCTAGATCAAAGGGTATGCATTGAGCATAGATCTAAATTGCTCTCCAGAAGAGTTGGATCAGTTCACAACTCCACCAACAATGCATTAGAGTTCCAATTCTCCCACATCTTCTCAGATATTTATCATTTTCCTTTTCTGTCATATTAGCTAAACTGATAAGTGTCAGATAGTTCTTCAAAGTTGTTTTAAATTGAATATTTCTAATCAATAGTGATTTAGAGCATTTTTTCATATGATTATAGACAGCTTTAATTTCTCCATCTGAAAACTACCTATTCATATCTTTTGACCATTTACCAAGTGGGGAATGACTTGTATTCTTATACATTTGACTTTGTTTTTTATATATTTGAGAAAAGAGGCCTTTATCAAAAACACTGGCAGTAAAATTTATTTCCCAGCTTTCTGTTTTCTTTCTAATGTTGGTTGTATTGGTTTTGTCTGTGCAAAGCCTTTTTAATTTAATATAATTAAAAAAATTCATTTTGAAATTATTACTTATTGTTTTTGGAGGAAATTCTGAAACCCTGATAACTACGTCCTCTACAGATTTATTCCATCTAACCTCATTTGAGATATCACTTCTGTGCAATCATAATTTGACTCATTTCTTACCCTACAACACTTCCCACAAAAGCTGTTCAAAACCTCACCTACTTTCAAATTTGCAGCTCTATTCTTCACTCTCTTGACAGATGACCTTTGCTCTTATTTTATTTCAGAAGACTGTCATTCTCCCAGGATCTCTATCAACTCATCTTATCCATATTACAACACCTCTTTATGTCTTAATCTATCTTCTCTTCTCTTCTCTTGCTCACTTTTTGCATCCTGAAATGAGATTTCCAATTGTCTTGTCAAAACAGTTCCCTTCACCTCTGCCAAGCTTCTATTCCCTCTTGTCACCACTTGTTTAGCCACTTTAGTCACCAGTCTATTTCCATATAGCAAAACTTATGTATATGCATCAAAATTCCATTCTTTGGAAAATCTTAAGCCTGAGATTACCCATTCAATCCTTTCAATGAGCCAGAAATATAAAAGTTGTTACAATGTTCAAAAATTGCTTAGAGTGATATGTATAGCATCAGATGATGGTTATATTGGATCATATTAAGTAATTATTGATTTAAAAGTTAATTAACTTTTCTAATGTTATTTTTGTTACTTTGTAGCATTTATGATTATCAAGTTATTAAAGCTCAAAATTGTGCTAAGATTTTTGAATTATCTTGTATAAATACAACTACTACATCAAATTTAGCTTACCTCTCTCCAACTTGTTAACAAATACAGGATGAGAAAGTTTGTGAAGTAATTTGTAATAATGTGCCTCTGTTATTCCTCTGACCTCCCTGTCTGGTAATCTTTGAAAAACACAAATATGTTTAAGGACAAAAAATGTCCTTTCAGAATCAAAAAAGTTGAGCTAAACCAATTCAGGTCATAAGTACAGAAGCTAAATTTTCTCAAAGCTCCATGAAAGACTGAAGTTACAAAATTCTGAGCTTCTCTTCCAAATTAATTACTTGAGCATCCTCATTATCCTACCCAGAGATGTGGAGGATTATTCACCTTTCTAGGAAAAGAACGAAAATAATTTGGTACAAAGATGGCACCAGTGGACCAACCCAAGGAAAAAATGGCCAGTGCAAAAGTGAAACCTCCTTTCCCATCTTTAATGTAGAAAAGATTATCAACCCTAAGACAGGTGTGGAGAACCACAGAATGAAAAATGTCTTTGAAAACACAAGTATTTTCTCAGAGCTGTCAGAGACTAAGGAAATAGCTTTTTCAAATGTTGTTCACAGAAGCCTTTAGAAATAGCAGATGATAGTGACTCTGTAGAGTTGCTAGGCTTATAGCTTATGCAATACAAAAATGAAGTAACTGTCAATCATCCATTTATTTATATCACCAAGCACAGCAAAACAGCTAACATACTTTTTTTCCACAAAATTTTATTTTCCTTTAAAACAATGCATAACCAATTCTGTCTGATTTTTTTCTGCAAGTACAGGTTTCCATAAACTTTTCATCCAGAGAACTATTTTCTAACTATGACGTATTGTTGTTGTTGTTTGTCCTTTGTTTTTGAAGAGGATGAACGACATCATTTTTGACTCCTCACTCCACAGAAACTGCTCTTTCCTAAATTACCAGTCATCTCTTAATTGGCAGATCTAAAGATCTTTTCTCAGTCTTTATCCTTCTTGACCTCTTTGTTGCATTTGTCAATGTTGACCCCCTTTCTTTTTGGACACTTGCTGTTTCCATGGTCTGGAAAATTGTTATATTAATTATTGTGTCACCTTTAAAAATTCTTATTTCTATATATTAAAAGCACTCATAAATAGATTTTTTTCTGACTTGTTAAAACATGTTCCAAATTAAGAATTTCCACGTGTTTTGGATTAATTTGTTAAAATGAAACAACATCTTCAGACTGATTTTTAAAAAACAATTATGAGGGAAGATAGGAATTTACTATCTGAATTTCATAATTGCAATTTCATTTGCATAGTTGGTGAATAAAAATGAGTATCATTATATTCAACAATTCATTTCTTTCATTTGGAGATTTTATATATATATATATACATATATACACACACACACACACATACACACACTCACATATGCGTATGTATGTATGTATGT